CTGGGCTCTGACTCTGATCACAAAGAAGATAAAGAACAAAATATGGTAACTATTTGATGCTAAATTGGTAATTTGGTGCACACATTACTATTATGTGTACTAGTTTTATCATAAGGGATACACAAATCTATCATTTACCCTCATTCATATTATAAAGTACTTAATTATATGAAGTATATAATTAAGTTCAATAAATAACCTTAAGAGGTAGCTTCAATATTTATAATATCCAAACTGAAATAAGGAAGACAAGTACAAATCATTCTGGATGTTAAAGAACTATAAAAGAGCATAATCAATCTTGATTCTAATGCTTTAATAGAGTATTGGAAATTAAAAACACCTCAGGTCAGGAATGGGAGATCTGTATAGCATCAAATTCTATACTGAAGCAGAGAATAAGACTATACTTATCGTTCCTACTCTCAATGCAGCCAGCATGTGAAGTAAAAGTTGTATGTCCTGTAAGACTCACTTTTAAGAAATGTGCTTGTTGTAGATTCAAGCAGACTTTGTATAAGCTCTCATGAATCTGCTCCTATATTCCAAGGCCCTGACATTCAAATATCCAGACCAGGCCATATTATTGACCTTACAACTCCTTGCTATGCATCATGACTTCACTTTGCCCAACTAACTGTAACAAGTACTCTTTACTGACCGCAGGCTGTTATCTACTGCCGATGTACCAGTCAGGACTTTTATCATCACAACATAAAATTCATGAATATTATGCTTCAGATTTCAAATATTTGACCACAAACTGACATTGGAAATTGAAACTGATATGAATAATCTTATATAGTAAATCTATTTTTTCAAACACTGAAAATTCAATAATTCCATTACTTCATCTTAGAAACATAAATAAAAAATTAATAAACATAATGACAACTAAAATATAATTACAACATACTAGGATGTGTTAATATGGTTATCTTCTATAGTCACAGGACATTTCAGAAGCCAAACCAAATATTTGGGCACCGTTTCAGCACGTTGTGACAGAATTAGTCCATAACTCATATTAGAATGAAAACACATTCTGCTGTAAACACAGTAAGGGAGAACCCCCTGGTTACTGGAGAAGTCATGTCATGCTATTTCTACTCAAGTTCAAAACATCTTTGTAAGGCAACCATGTGAGTAATTTATATTTATCAATGTAACTCTAAGAATCTTTCTTGTAAACAAAGTCACTTACAATGACGTTTAAGATTTATACAAAATATTAATTTCTCCAGCATACCCTAACCTTTTTTTTTTTTACCATTATTAAGAGCACAGTGGACTAGAAACTAACCCAGGCAACAAAGAAATCCCCTCTTGTATACACAGCTTCATTATTATAATGGCATGGTGTAACTTGCTTTTAAACAATTATTTGATCTATATGAAGTGTACAGATGTCCTGTGACTAATGAACCTGCCCATTATGGTTGTATGTTGTGACGGCTGTTAAGTGAGATTTCTTCGCTTAAAAACACCCACACCTGCTGATGTGGTCATTAAGAATTGAGTGTCTTAAGGTCTTCCCCACTCTGAGATATCCCGTGCTCCACTTCCTGCCACTTGGGGTTCCCACAGCCCTTGGGCTTGCTTCCCACCCACCCACCCACCCCACCCCCCCAATACCAGGTCCTCTTTTCCTTCCCAGCAGCTCACCACAGGACTTGGGACTCCTCACCACCATCACCTGTCACCCATCACATATTTATCTTTTGAAGACCTCCAGAGCTCCAGACCTCACATTGGGAAAGGAGATCACACCGCTCCATCCCTCAATGTTCTTGGGCCATGCGGCCATGTCATGAAATCTGCACTCAAATGGTGGCCACTTCTATGATAGGGCCACACAGTCCAGGGACAGAGCAATCCGCTCTGATTTCTTAAGTCTTTGCAGTATTGAGGCTTTTTCTGTATCCCAGGAATGGAATGGCCTTTCTTCCTTACCCAACATGAGGTCCAGGAGATCTTCAAAAGGTAAGTGAGCGATAGGTAATGGGAGGGGGAGGAGGACCAAGCCCTGCAGGGACCCAATGGGGGGTTGGATGGAAACAGGACCAGGGTCTGCAGGGACCCAGTGGGATAGAACGGTGGGGGGAGATAGGCGGGGGATGCTACAACTTTCCAGTGGTCAATTGTAAGGGCAAATAACATGGAGGTGCTGCAGCAGCCATAACTTAGAAACAGGATCAAAAATATCTTTTGAGGGGTCCATAGTAACTTATGGGAAGCTGTCAAGAAATATTGAAAATGATCATTTAACAGTAATCACTAAGCAGCAGCAGCAAAGCAGCAAAAAATTTCCCAAACTTTGTTCCATGGGGAAGCAATGGGTCTCAACGTTATTTAAGCTAGTTTAGTTGACAAAGTTTTGCCATATGATGCAGCATTTTGCCCAATTGAAGATTACAAAGTGTCAAACAGATACAAGACTTTTAGTAGTACAGTATATAGATCCCTTAAAGGGGTGTGGTGGCTCAGTGGCTAAGACGCTGAGCTTATCGATCCGAAGATCGCCAGTTCAGCGGTTTGAATCCCTAGTGCTGCATAATGGAGTGAGCTCCCATTACTTGTCCCAGCTTCTGCCAACCTAGCAGTTCGAAAGCAGGTAAAAAATGCAAGTAGAAAAATAGGGACCACTTTGGTGGGAAGGTAACAGCGCTCCATGCACCTTTGGCGTTTAGTCATGCCAGCCACATGACCATGGAGATGTCTTCCAACAGCACTGGCTCTTCGGCTTTGAAAGGAGATGAGCACCGCCCGTAGAGCCGGAAACGACTAGCACACATGTGCAGGGGAACCTTTATCTTATATAGATCCCTTAGGTTTTAGGATTTCCATAACATTATTTAAGTTTCATATTTCTAGGCTTTTGGCAGGAAGATTCAAAGCATCTTTCTTTATTCTTAAACCTGGACAGAAGCCTTTGATATAAAGGCTAAAATCATTTCATCTGGACAGATTAAGAACAATAGTCTAGTTAAAGACATCAGTTTTACACTTTTGAATGCACAATGTAAGTTTCATAGATAAATTCAGTCTTTTGTCCATACCTGAATTTTCTGTTGCTTGTAAAATATCATTGTAGCACTATAATAAACAGAATTCAGAGTGGCAATCTATTACATACAATCTATCTAATATTTATGTCCAAATGTATAGTGGGCCTTTCAATAGATTGTAAACTTTTGGATGTAATTCCATATTGTTGTTTGAGTGTACAATAAACATTGCTATTTTGACAACTAATTGTTTTTTTCTAAATGCTAGCTTTTGTAAATAAATATATTTTATTAATTTAGTACAGAAATCAGTTACATCATTAGCCAGTCTTGACTATACTATATGGACTATACAGCCCATGGAATAATAAACAAATAATGGAATAATGCTAATTTTCTTCATAAGTAGCAGGTAACTACTATAGCTCATCTCTTCTACTGCCAATAGGAAGGATGCAGAACAGTTTGAAGAACTGTGTACTAGAAGGTGCAATAAACTATTAATTTACTTAATACTGTAAGCTAACAAACTTTTTCTTTTAAGTCCAAATGAGGCTTACCAGCATTGAAAGATGACACTTAACAAACATTAGCCCACTCAAGTACGGATAGTTGCACATGCTGAGGTGAGGGCAATTTATTCCCATGAAAAGGTTCCAGCACATGCCCCAGTCAGAAGGTCACTGCAAGAGCCAAGTTGCAACCTTACAACTACTTATAACCTCTCCCCTGGTTGATCATGTCACTTACATAAATTCCACCAAACAAAGCTCTGAAGATGCTGAAGTAATGCAGACAAAAGGACATGAAGCATGGAAGTAAGTTCACTACTTAAAGACATTAGCACAACATAAGCCTTAATACAAGCTCTATAATATCAGTGTCATACAATTTTGTTCTAATTAAAAGAATGCTGCCCATTGCCTTAGGTGCCAAATGTAAAACAAATTACATTTTTTGTTCAGTTTAGGGAAATAAAGCTTTATAATCAAAATGTGGCAGAGTCCATTAATGTTATTTTAAGTTACAAATTTTCAGTAGGAACCAAAAGCTAAATAGAGCTTATGGAAAGAGAGGATCAAGCATCCTTTGAGCCATCTTCAACAGAAAGTTACTGTTTCCAGCCATGACTATTCACACTTTTCATTTGCTCAGATCAGCTGTTTTTATAAGTATTTAACTACAATTTCCCAAGATGTCTGTGAAGTAAACTTTTGTTTATAGAATGGATTGGAAGTACTTATTCTTTAAAAAAATAAACCATCTCAAGCTCTCCAGGGTTAGGGTTGTAGATATATAGATCTGGCAAAACATCGACAAAGGTGGAATGGTTCAGTTGTACAATCTTTCCATATGTACCAGACCAATCTCTACTGTCTTCTTATTTAGAAACAGTAATAATGAAGACATCCATGCACTTTATCTCTCATATACATACACACACACATACATACAGGCGCGCACACGCACACATTTTTTCCTAAGAATAAATGCTCATGCCTACCAAAATAAGGAGTACCTTCAACTAATTAGTCTTTAGCCCAATTCAATAGAAATTCAAACTGTTCTCAAGAAACCAAGCTCATGACCTTTTGTTAGTTTATTACTTTTGAGAGAGCATTAAATTATTTAAGGGACAGGTCCTAAATTCCTGTTTCCCCTTCTCTTTTGTTCACTGTGAGTGGAAGACCCGCTAACAAGGGTGGGGGGGGGGGGAATGAAAGAAAATACTGGTTTGATGCAAAAACATCCAGACTCAAGAGGGATAGGAAGTATTGGTTGGAGGGTTAAGGTGGGCTTCTTAGGCAGGGTGGTCTTTGGGGGGGGGGGGTTGGATTCGAGTATTGGCCCCGAGCTTTAGTAGAAAGAAGGAGTCGAGACAATACCACACTCTGAATCAAGGGAGAAGGGAAGGTTTCGCCTTTTACGGCTCACCCGCCTTTCTCTACCCAAATTCGCAGCCCGTTCCACCCCATCTCCAGCCAAGCTCACGTGGAAAGCTTTCTCGTCCAGAAGAGGCCGCCGGGCCAAAGCTCCTGAAGCTGAACAGCGCGGCTGAGGTTCAGTTTGATCTGGGCAAGGAGGTAGCTGGCCTCGGCTTCTAGCTTGTCGCCGTAGGGTAGCAGCTTATTGTACACCAGTTCCTTCTGTACGGCTGGAGGCGGTAGGGGTGGCGGTAAGGGAGGCGGCGGCTCGGCACCGACGCCGGCCTTAGCCATGGCCGCCTCCTTCCTGTCCCGTTGGATAACCGCCTGTCTCCCGCCGCCCCGAGGACTCGGCTTGCTGCCGCTGCGGCTTCTTTGCGTCGCCCGCCGGATCGGCCCCGGCTGTTGGCTAGCCCCGGCTACCGAACCCGACTGCCTCGAGCGTCTGTCACACAGCGGCTCCTGGTGACGAAGCAACAGAGCGAACGAACCAAGCAGCGCCGCCGACCTTGTCGCCGTCTCCCGCGGCTGCCGCCCAACACTGCTGGCAGAGCAGGCGGGCGACGCGGAGGTCACTTCCGCTGCGAGGGAGGGGGAGGAGACGAGGATGAGCTCCCTGGAAGGAGAACCGCGAGACTGAGGAGCCGCGAGGCCGGAGAGAGAGAGAGAGAGAGAGAGAGAAGGGGGCGGGGGCGCGAAGCCAAAGCGGCCGGCCCAGTCCTGAAGGCGGTCGGCGGCGCCTTCCCTTCCCCGCGCTCTCTCTGAGGAGGCAGCGGCTCTCGAGCTTCCCCCCCCCCCCCCCCCCGCTCCAACGGACATAGCGGTCCTGGCGCATCCTTAGCGGCTGCGAGGGTGATGGTTTTAAAACCCTTTCAACCGTGGAGATGAGCCTGGCCAAAGTACAGTGATAGGGAAGGGTGAAGGGGAAAAACCTGGCTCCTAAGGAGATCGTAGGTATGACTCGCGGAGGGAGAGGCGAGAGAAAATTAGCCGCCTGGGGTGGGGTGACGCTTTTAAAAGGCAGGCAGCCAAATTAACTTCGCGTGGAGCAGGTAAACGAAGGCATCCCGAGGGCAGCAGGAGAAAGCAAGAGAAAGGAGGTGGATTGAACCGGTAGGAGGATGAATGCCGATTGGGAGAGAACTGAGAAGCTTCCAGGGGGGTGTTTATTGAGGGGGGAAATTAATAAAGCTTGACAGAAGCAGGAAATAAAGAGAGGGTGGAAGGCAAAGGGCAGAAAAAGGGGTTTGTAAGAAAGTGTAGAATAGAGGAAAGGGGCTTATTATATGAAGGGAGATGAGAAGGGAACCTAGGATTTGTGGATCAGAGAACTTGGATTAGGGATAATGAAGAAAAGGTGTACAGGTAGTCTTTGATTTACAACAGTTCGTTTAGTGACCATTCAAAGTTGCAACGGCCCTGAAAAATGTGACTTATGACTTTTTCAAAGTTATGACCTTTGCAGCAACCCCATGATCGTGTGATCAAAATTCAGATGCTTGGCAACTGGTTCATATTTATGACCATTACTGTGTCCCAAGGTCATGTGATCACCTTTTGCGACCTTCTGACAGGCAAAGTCAATGGGGAAGCCAGATTCACTTAATAACTGTGTTACTAATTTAACAGCTACATGATTCACTTAATAACTGTGGCAAGAAAGTTTGTAAAGTGAGGCAAAATTCACTTAACAAATGTCTCACTTAACAACAGTAATTTTGAGCTCAATTGTGGTTGTAAGTCAAGGACTACCTGTACTGTAAACTTGTAGAGATTTGAAAGGAGAAAAGTATTTTGAAGTGGGTAGGGGCACTGTCACTAGGTAGCACCAGCCTGCCATTCTGTTTCTTTCCCCAAGATCCTGGGCCTGTCCTGCAATGCAAACCTAGGAAAAGGCACATTAGGTTTGAGGAGTGGCAGACAGATCCTATGTACTTTGAAATACCTTTTCCCCTTGAATTAAAGTGCTGCATAGCTTTAATACGTTGTAGGGTGGGGAACCTTCATGAGTATGGAATATGATTCACCCATTGCCCAATCCATAAATGTTTTGATATTTTATGGTGTTTTATGAATGTAGCAAATGTAACTTTGAATAAACTGTTTAAGCAGGATATCATTTTAACAGCCATCAACTTCTAGCAGGGGGACAGAGGTCGACCTCAAGGCACCTTGTTTGTGGGGTGCCGCAAGGGTCGGTCCTCTCGTCTCTCCTGTTCAACATTTACGTGAAGCAGCTAGGTGAGATGATCCGTGGTTTTGGGGTGCAGTGCCATCTGTACGCTGACGACACTCAGCTGTACATCTCCACCCCAGACCACCCCAATGATGCCCTTGAAGTGATGTCCCGGTGCCTGGAGGCCGTGCTTGTCTGGATGGGGAGGAACAGGCTCCGACTCATCCCCTCCAAGACCAAGTGGCTGTGGTTGCCGGCGTCCCGATATAGCCAGCTGGTGCCATCGCTGGCTATTGGGGGCGAGTCATTGCCCACAGAGAGGGCTCGCAACTTGGGCGTCCTCCTGGATGCATGGCTATCTTTAGAAGAGCATATGACGGCCGTGGCCAGGGGGCCTTTTTATCAGGTTCGCCTGATACGCCAGTTGCGCCCTTTTCTGGATCAGGACTCCTTATGCACGGTCACTCATGCCCTCGTTACTTCCCGCCTGGACTACTGTAATGCTCTCTACATGGGGCTCCCCTTGAGCACCCGGAGGGTCCAACTGGTCCAGCATGCGGCCGCGCGGGTGATTATGGGGGTGACATGGCACTCCCATGTAACACCTCTCCTGCGCGAGCTGCACTGGCTTCCTGTGGTCTTCTGGGTGCGCTTCAAGGTTTTGGTTCTCACCTTTAAAGCGCTCCATGGCTTAGGGCCTGGATATCTACGAGACCACCTTCTGCCACCGATAACCTCCCACCGGCCAATACACTCCCACAGAGAGGGTCTCCTCAGGGTGCCGTTGGTCAACCAATGTCGACTGGCGACCCCCAGGGTGGAGAGCCTTCTCTGTGGGGGAAGCTGCCCTCTGGAATGAACTACCCCCAGGGATACGACTGATCCTGGACCTCCGTACTTTCCGCCAGGCTCTGAAGACCTTCTTGTTTCAACGAGCTGGGCTGGCTTAAAATTTTAATTGATTAATTTTATGGGTAAGGGTTTTAAAATTGGGAGCCAAACTGATTTAATTTTTTTTTTATTATTTTAATTTTCATACTGTATGTATTTTAACCCTGGCTGTTTACTGCCCAGAGTCCTTCGGGAGAAGAGCGGTATAAAAATTTAATAAATAAATAAATAAATAGTTAACACTAAACCATGATTTGTTGAATAAGACACTATTGGTCATATTCAGGCCACACATTGAGATGAAGCATGAGTTAGTGTTAAGCTAAGCCAACCTATACAACAATCTGAGCATGAAATACAAATATTTTTTCTTTTGCTTCCATTGAATCCAATTGATTTATAAAAGATGCTATCTTATTAGTTGGGTTTACACAATTGGTTATTACTGGATCCCAGTCACCTGATTATGTGCCATCAAATTTGTGTTCATTGTAAGCGACTGCATATCTCAGGATGTTCTGTCCCCATCTTGTTCCTTCTGATCACAAGAAAACTGATAGAAATGAAAGAATGGTGGTACATTATTGTGGTGGGTTGATCACAGATTCATTCTTATAATGGTAAATCCTATTGTTTTCAAATGTTTGTTTACTTGTAGAAAAATAAAGGCAAACTTTAAGCTCTATGAATTCATAAATGGTAATTATGTTGCATACGCTAGAAATTGTATGGGCAATAAAAAGTCTGTGATTCATTAGGACAAAAGGTGAAGGTCTAGTTCAGTGATGGCGAACCTTTTCGACACCAAGCGCACATCTGGGCCGCAACCCGGAAGAGGAGCTGCCCAGGGCCCATGCACACATCCGAAAATGAACTTCCTGTTTCAGCCAGCTACCCTTCTGGGTTTTTGGTACACATGAATGCATGACAATCAGCTGGCCGGCGCGCATGCTCACACAAGAAAACGGAAGACCAGCTCTTCCAGTTTCCAGCACTGCCACATGCAAAAAGGCCAGCTGATCGTCACGTACTCATGTGCGTCAGAAACCCGTAAGAGGAACGGGCGATGCCACACGTGCCAGGCGACATGGCTCCACGTGCCACTTCGGGTATGCGTGCCATAGGTTCGCCATCACGGGTCTAGTTTGACCACAGTCCTTCCTGCATTTCTTTTGTTCTACAACTGGCTATTTTCCATCCCAAGAGTTAGAAGCACATTAACTAATATTAGTAATTGCATATTAAATTGCTGATTTAAAAATAGGCTGAGAAGAAATTACATTTCTTCCCTCCTAGGAAAAAGATCTGCTTTCCCCCCACCCACCACCACCACAGAACAAAAAGATCAAAGCACTTTTTTCATCTCCCTTCCAAAAAGTAGCCTTATTACTACCATCATTTGACATGTGTTGAAGGAAGAAAAATCTCGTCTCTGACAATATTTGCATGACATTAGTAATTTGCATTACTATTAGATTTTTATTATGCTTATTAAAATATATTTTGGTCATCTCAAGGCATCAAGCATACCTAATACCTTTCCTCCAATTTTCTCCACAACAACCTGTGAGGTGGGTTTTGCTGAAGGTGAGTGGCCCAAAGTCACCCAACCAGATGCTTTATGATTCAGTATATAATTGGGGCTTTAAAATATTTATTTAAAACTGTATATGGCTGCCTTATATGCAATCAACCTAGGCAACCCACAAAAGATCAGCAATAATCATATCACCCATACAAGAAACATTATGCTTCTCACCATAGCACCATAACATCCATCTGTTCTAAATATATAGACCACAAGATGATGTTCCCCCATTTCAATTTTTTAAAAAGATTGGAGAGATTTTAAAAATTGGAGAGATTGGTGCTGATGTGATTGTCTGGATTTGTTTTTTCATTTTGTCTCTCATAGTTGAGGTCTACCTATGATGTCAATTACAGGCCTCTCTCATCTTTTTAAGCGGGAGAACTTGCACAATTGATGGCTGACTAAATACTTTTTTACCCCACTGTATATAGAACATCAGTTTATCTTGTATGTTGATAATAATGATGGGTGGTTATCTCCAACTATCTCTTAAATATTATTAACTGATATTCTCTTCCAAAACCACCTAGTAATCAGGCAACAGCTGCAACCTAATATAATAGTAAAATAACAGTAACAAATAAAATTCAAATTCCTGGTTTAGTTCTACTTACAAAATATTTTTTCATAACATAAATTATTGTTATTTGAAGCAAAAAACACTTTGGATGACAAGTGAAATACAGAAAAGAAAACTTTCTGTATTTTCACAGACAGCATTTAAACACAATCCTGTAAAACAAGGTAGATAAAAATCGATTATTATTTTTTTTTAATTAATGGATTTTTTTTTAATTTAAATCAGATTTTTTTATCAAATTTATTTTAATAAAATACTTTTGGAGTAAAAATTTATATAAAAGGAGCTTAGTTATGTAGCATGAGACTGTATATTCTGCAATATTGGGACTGTTGGTGAGTCAACAGCGGATCAGAGGAGGAGCTGCTGCAGGACAGAGTTGACAGTTGCTCTTTAAAAATTATGATTTAAATCAAGCCTTTTTACTAGTGATTTAAATCATGATTTAAATCGACTTGATTTAAATCAAATCCACCATGGTGTAAAATCTGTTATTTTATACAATAGATATTTGTTTCCAAAGCCTGTTATTGACTTAGCCCTAGCACCTGCTGGCTGGACACTATAAAAGATTATGACACCAAGATGACCATGGCGGAGCTGAAGGAGGCAATGTGAGACAGAAGAACATGGAGAATCTTGATCCATGGAGCGGCCAAGGGTTAGACACAGCTGATGATGACAATGAATATTGACTTGATTGACATATGTGAAAATACAGGTTTTATTCTCAGTTTCTGGTGAGATTTTGACATATTAGAGTACAGAGTATCTATAGGAATAGGCAGTCTTGTTAGACTAATGTATCAAAAGCACATTCAGTCACCTTTCAAGATTTTCCTATTATCCTCAATTATTAATTCTATTAAAGTCTCTGGCTTTCTAGAATTGAGAAACACTCTAGTCACTTGAAAACATCATACCTGATTACCTTCTCACACCGAGAAGAACCAAAAGGTTTCTCTGGTTTTTAAATGACCAGGGAGATGAAAGTTTGAATTATGTACATGGAATATTATCCAAAAGTACTCACTGTTTACTCATTATATCTGCAAAATCATCCAACCATCAATGAATCATACAGGCCATTCTGCTGCCTAAGTTATTAGGACTAGAGAAATTATTTTGAGGTTATTCATTAAAAAGTTAGGTTAAGTTAGCTGGGAATCCAGAATCTTAAAAAAGAATTACAATGGCTTGAGATATGAAATGATTGAAATTGTGCTACAACTTCATCAGGAGAGCCACAAGTTCCCAAATATCTACTTGAGCTACCCATCACTAACATATATTGTTTATTCACATCAGGTGCTATACTTGCCCAGGTGGAATTCAATGTATGCATATGATCAGAATACCAGAAAGGGTAGAAATCCTGACATTGTTCAGAGGCTATAAGGATTAAGACTGGTCCTACACTTATTTTTAACTGGTTCACAATTATATTTCAATTGATCCCCGGGTATAGTCTCCTCCACTCCTACCTTTTTATTTTTAACTGGTTCACAGTTCATATAAACTGTTACCCAGCGTATGCTTTCCTCCACTCCTAACTCTGTTTATTGGCTGGTCCACAGCGTTGCTTTCACTGTTTTCCAGCTCATGCTTACCTCCACTCCTAACTCTTATTTTAATTTTTAACTAATTCCAAGCTTTGTTTCAACTGTTTTCTAATATAATACCTTCCTCCACTCCTACCATATTTATTAACCTGGAGCAAAACTCTACTTTAGCTAATTTCCAAAATCATATTTCACATTACTCCTAGTTTCACATATTTAATTGATTAATAACATTTTGTTTTAAATATTATCTTGCTTGCATTTTGCTCTCTTCCAACTTCTCTTATTCAATCTGTTAGCTTCAAATTATTTCACAATGTATTACCCATATTGTTTTTCCATTTATTCTCCTCTTCTTAAAAACTTCCAGTGATGAAGCACCCACAACTTCTTTTTCTCTTTCTCTTTCTCTCTCTGCTCTACTGGTTACTCTAGATCAGGGGTGTCAAACACATGTCATCATGGTATTGTCTCGTGATGTATTGTGACTTTTCCCCCCCTTCACTAAAATGGGCATGATGTATTCGGCCTACGAGCCGTGAGTTTGACAACCCTGCTCTAGATGGAGTAGCACTTAAAAAGTAGATCTGTAGGTTGGAGCCCTTCTTAAAGCAATCATTGGATAGACATGCAAAGAATATTACTTTGAAGATCTTCGTCCAGATCTTTGGTTGATATGCCATTTATAGTCTTTTTGGGGAAGGAGGTTCTGGTTACAATGTCTCACACTTTTATTACCTCTTGATTAGATTACTAAAGAGCATGTTGCATGGGTATCCTTTGAAGTCTACACAGAAACCGCAGTTCATATAAAATGTAACAGCCCAGGTATGTAAAAGTCACTTCTTACATATACCACAAATGTTGCCGGTGCTGCATTTGTTGCTGAATAATTCAGAGTGATGATTTTCACCTGCAAAGTTTGGAATAGGAAAACTAGGAGTTTTCACAATAACTGAAATGGCTATTTCAACGGTCTATCATTGATGTGAGACCTGCATTTTTGTTTCTAAAAAAGGAAATAATTGAAAAATTTTACTTTCTAACATGTTTCTTTAATTGAGCCAGAAAGACAATACTTTTATAACAAACATTTATAGGCTATGAATCAGAGCTAAATCCATCTGTTCAGTTTTTGCAACATTTTAGTTGTCATTGAACGTGAAAAGGGCACAGTCGGTTCCTGACTCACATAATGGGTACTTTAATATCTTGAGTCTAAAATTCTATTTGCACAGCTTGTAACACTAACTTTTTCTTTCTTGTTAAGTGGGAGGAATACTGACTGAGAGTATTCAAAACAGCACCATTACCACCTGTCATTTCCTGGTTCTCAGCTGGAGAACAAATGAAGAGGTTCAAATTTTAAAACTGAAAGAAATACATTTGCTCCATTGAAGAGAATTGCTACTGCTGTGGTTATCAACTGCAAACTGCTGACGCACTTTTGTACCCCACAGACTTCTGTTTTAAATCAACTAACACCAGCATCATCAGTTTTTAAGTATGGGCAATGTGTTTTTTTGCCTGAGATAATCAAAGTTAAATAAAAGTGTCTTGAGAGAACACTAAACCATAACATTTGTTTGTTTTTAATTTATTGTATGGTGGTAATTTTATATTATTTATAATTTATGGCATAAGAATTAAGCATGAACCAGCTGTTATGTTTGCCATAGTTTGATTTGATGTAAATTTAGTTGCACATTAGACATCTGTAATACTAAATTCCAAATTCAGAGAAGAAATGGAGAGAAGCAAATATGCTGTTTGGGGGAATATCTCTACAATGACAATTAGAAATTAGACTGGCATATTTTCATCACTTGAGATGATCTTATAATCACTTCTGTCCAATGAGACGTGGCCTAATATTAACTGGACAATAAGGACTAAAATGTAGATTAAGTGTTTTTCTGCTTAGACTGGTCTATCAGGGCAACCTGGTGTACCCAAATATGGGACAGAGCATACTGCTTTGACCTTTCAGCCCCAATCCAGGAGCCTTCGCAGGCAGTCGCTTTCATGACAAACCTTTATTTCTTTGTCAGTAAATATAAATTCAGCACAAATGTAGATTGTTGAAAAAGATAAAAGAAATTAATATACTAATAAATGTGTTATAAGTTGCTGAAAGACTATGCGTTAAAAATATGTCTATGCATTGGCAGTTTTAGAAAAAAATTGTGGAGAATTTTCCTTCGTTTCTGTAAATTAGATATAGTATATGCTCTTTGAATGTTTGACTCATCATCCAATGAAAGTGACTGTCTTAAGTGAAACCTGATTGTGATGTGAATCTATCCAGCAAAATTGAACTGAAAAGCCTGCTTGGGGAAAAAAAAGGCTCCTCAGAATCCTGAATTGTTAATTACAGCTTCTTTTGCTGTCAGAAACAGTTGGTTGTTACTGAAAATGCATTAAATTGATTCATGCTTCTGGTTGATGTAATTGATGGCAAACCATCACCTTCAAATTTCAAGTCAAGGACAACCCACACACTTCCCTGTTGCTTAAATTCTTTCATGCTGTCCTGGGCAGCCACATGGTTGCCATTATTGGATGAAAAGGGCAAGAATTAATTCCCCTGTTTCCTAGGAAACAACAGTGACTACTACGTGTCAGTTGAAGTGATTTTAAATAAGTCCTGTTTAGCCTGTGACAATATAATCTACAGCTTTTACACTTTTTCCCTTAATTTTACCTCTTTTTTTAGTCAAGAAAATTTTTTCCCCAAAAACTGAAAAGGAGAATTAAAGTCAAGAAGAGACATTATGTCTACTTATTTTAAACCTTTTTGTTTCTGTTAGATGCATTTGAAATGAGTTTTAAAATATTTGAATATTTTAAAATATTTTAATGTTTTAAAATAATTGTTCTAATAAAAGATTATTCATAATTAATTAAACCCCAGATTCTAGAGTGATTTTGCCCCCCTTTATACCATGCACTTTGTGGGAAGGAGGGAGGAAAGCCTGTTTTTTTGTTTGTATTTTTGAGTTATTTTAACATGTATATTGCCCAGAATTGTGATGGAGTCAGGCAGCCTTATAAGTTTAATAAATAAAGCTAAACCAAGCAGAAAGAATTGAGAGGTGAAAGGGAATAGACATTACAGAACAGAATCAAATTTTAGAAAAATGCCATTTGTAATGAGAAAAGATAAGACTAGAGATAGAATACCTTGTTTCTATATGTAGCTATCTTCTGTAGTAAGCCAATAAAGCTGATTTTGTATCTTCTAGGTAAAAAGGTATATTCGATTTAGTTCTGATCATAAGAAGAAAGTTCTCTAAATTTAGTCTGTTCAAGACTGTGTGTAAGCTTGGTCTAGGAAAAAAGAGGCTTGCTGGTTCTAGTATGTTTTGGCTACCCTGAGCACTACAGTACAATATATGTGCATCTGAATAAGAATAGGTAACTTTTGCTGAAAACTGCCTAACACTGAACTCTTTATTGACGAGAGAAGTAGAGGAGCATATGGCAATAGCCATAAAATAGCCACAAAATCTTTATTGTTAGAAATTAGATCAATATCTATCATTTTAACTGCCTATCAAAACCTTTCCTATCAAAATCCTTCCTATTGACACGTGTCCTAACACAGTATTTCAAATACCAATCTATGCTAATGGTGATTTATTTCAGTTATTACATGGTACTGCTGTAGAATATTATTGAAAGTAATTGCCTTCCATCACCGCTTGCTGCTCCTTAATTGTTTCTTCCTCAGCACCACCAGACTTTAAAAAATACAGAGCAAACCTCCATCCAGAAATTGAATAGAAGGTGTGGATAAGATCTGTTAGTATACAGTACATCTTTGAGCATTCTCTCACACCTCAGCTGTATGGGCCAGGAGGCTTCTGCAGGGCATTATTTTCTACTCAGAAAGATAGAGGAGAGCCTTACCCTGTATTTTGTTGAAGAAGAAACTGGATATCTAATAAAGTTATTGACTGGATATCTAGTAAAGTTTGCAAAGTACAATCCTCTAAGTGCCTTTGAGACACCAGTATGCCTGAAATTCTCTTTGCATGCTAGTTATTTGTTCTGCTTTGCTTCTAATTTTATCTAAGACCTTCTGTTTCTTCTCAATGTAACACTTTGTCCTCTGAAACATTGTCTAGATGTTAATTTAACTGAGGATATTGTCTGATTTAAAGAAATGTAAGTTATAATTATCTGTTAATTTTTCAATCTTTATTAATTTGCATATGCAAACATGTTTAGAATTTTAAAAATTGTATATTTCATTTTTAGAGGATACATGTTTGATTATAATATATGCCCTTTTGGAAAAAGCATTTCTTAAGTGAGATAATAGGAAATACTCTTCTAAACTGTAATTGCTGCCCTATTTTATAATGTTTATTAAAAGTTCAAAATCTTTGAAATTAATTGAAGGTGTTTTATGTTAAATAATCTAAAGAATTTGATTAAGAAAACATTACAGTCCCACTTTTTATTTCCATCTTTGCCAAGAATGAGGCAACTTTAGTGGAGTACAAGTGAAGTTAAAAATGAAGATTGTTCTTTGTTAAAATTAGACTTCTTCTAAATGAACAATTGTTTGAATTAAATATTTGGGGGGGCCAAAAGATACTGCTTAGAGCAGGGCTGTCAAACTCATGGCCCACGGATCAGATGCGTCATGCACTGGCCACGCCCATGCTCAGTTTAGCAAAGGGGGGAAACGTCGTGATATGTCACGTGACAATACAAGTTTGACATCCCTGGTTTAGAGGAATAATAGTGTAAGAAACTGGAATTTAAAAAAAAATACTCTTAATTGTGTTTGATAAAATCTCTTTATCACTGACCAAAGTCTTATGAGGACCCAGATTGTTGGGGGCAATATGCTGACTCTGTAAACTGCTTAGAGAGGGCTGTGAAGCTCTGTGAAACTCTGTGAAGTGGTATATAAGTCTAAATGCTATTGCTTATGCACAACAGCTAAAACATGCACAGTGTACAGATAACTTCTACCATAGTATTATGATAATGTTTATATCTTCAAACTCTTAGTGATTTGATAAAATTACTAGCAGGATGGTATAAAAGAAGAAACAGAACTGTCCCCATGAATGTTTCAGATTTTGCTATAATCAGATTTTACCAGAATGTTTCAGATTTTACCTGCTAATTTATATGTGATTGGCAATTTGGTTTTGCTGGCTGGGAAATTAACATTTTTATGAAAAAAAACTACTATTCATCAGTGATTGGTGAGATTTAATTGATTGGGTTGTTTGGGAAGTAGGTATCTAGGTGGTTTCCAAAATGGACTTTTGTCTAGAACATGATTTCTATAATTCCTATTGACTCAAAGATTTCCAATAATGTGTAGCTGGTGTAGATTTTAATTTTAGTTAATTCCAAGTTACTTTCAAAATACACAAATTTTTGCCCTGCTAATAGAACAACATTCCTATAGATTAATCAGTGGAACAGTTTGCCTCCAGAAGTTGTGAATGCTCCAACAATGGAAGTTTTAAAGAAGAGATTGGACAAACAATTGTCTGAAATGGTATAGGGTTTCCTGCCTAAGCAGGAGGTTGGACTAGAAGACCTCCAAGGTCCCTTCCAACTCTGTTAAATTTCTTTTGTATTTCTATTCTATTTTTATGTTTCGTCTTTTTTCCCATCATATCTCCTAGTTACACATCACCTGGGAATTTGTTTTGACTGACATTGGCTGCTAAATGGTTCATACAGGTATAACTTTAGAGAAAGATACCATTCTTAGTCTCATCTCTCTATCACATTCTACTGTTAATACACCATGTGAATTCTGGTCCTTCTGTCCCAGGTTTTATACTGTAGGAATACCTTATAAATCTCCCCCATGAAGGTTTTCTACGTTTTATATATTATAATATAATATAAAAGCATAGAAAGCTTTTATACACACTAGGCCTTGATCCAACCCTTCAAATTTTTGAGGATTTACACATGATAATACATAAAAAGATAGTACATGTATTAAACGTCCAATTTAATATGTAGCATTCAAAAGGGGAAAGTGGAGAAGGAATGCAAGCACTGCAAAGTGCACGGGGATCTCAATTGTGCTTAGTTCGAGTGATTATTTCACTTCCTTAACCCAAATTCTGAAAAGAGTTTAAGGAAGGGAACAGGCTACATCGATCCAAGCCCTTTAAAGTTCCCTCCCTACCCCCTTTAAAAAAAAAAGGGTGGATTGAGCCTATCGAATTGGCTGGGATTAGCCTGTTGGGCTATCGCCCTCTAATGAATCTTGAGCCTTGCGAGTACCCGTCGCAGCCTCTGCTGGCTGAGTTTCTGCGTTAGACTGATCAGCGCTTGCTCGCTCTCACTCCTTCTCTGAGTGACTCTTCTTTCCCTGCAACCATTATGTCCCGGATCCTCAAATCGGTGGATTACGAGGTATTTGGCCGGGTTCAAGGTGAGCAGCGGAGAAAGTTGCGAAGGCTAAATATTAGGAAAGGGGCCGTGGGGAAGAGAACCGCGCTGGCAAAAATAGCTTCAGAGCGCACGAACTGCCCTCTCGGGTTACAAAGAAAAGCTGGCAAGGAGAACCGTTTATATAAAGCGAATTTAATTGCCAGATCATGCCGGCCGTGCTGGCTCAAAACAGTTCTGTGCACAGTTAGTCTTAAAAGTGAATTGAAGAGCCGGCAAGGGTCTTAGTGTTAATAATACACGTGCGCGGCAAGTGCAGGAAGGGGCACTCATTGTTTCCATGCCCCCAGATCCACTAATGCTGCCCCAGTTACAAGTTACCATTACCTCCTATGCTACCTTCGCAGGAGAGCTGTTCAACTGCTCACTGGGATTAGCACTTGTTTTAAAAACTGGGGAGATAAAATTTCATTTTAAACTGGCAGTGAAAGATTACATTATTAAATCCTCCTTCATGTCAAAACTAATCATCAGAGAGAACAGACTTTTTTCTTAATACATTTTATACACAAGGGATTTATCCACATCTGCCATCTTTCAAAACTGCACAAACACACTTCTGTGAAATACAAAGGTGTAGTAGGAAACAGCAGCAACTTTGACCAATATATGTATTCTCTCTTCAGGGAAGGCATGGTAAACATCATATATGAGCAGTGATTATGGATGATGACTGTGAGCGTGTCCTCAATGCTTTGGCCACATATTTTCAGGGATAGTTCAATCTTCTGCTTGTTTTCATAGAACTCCTCCTCAGCTCAAAACCAGTCTTTCTGGGTAAAATGATTGTAGATTTGTCGCTAAAATGACTGCACATGCAAATAAACCAGGAAAGAAAAAAGAAATGGTTATTTATATAAACCATCCTACATCTCTTTCTCTCTAAAAGAACCAAGTGTGGCCTTGCCCACCAAAATATGGCCCTCTCAGATGTAGAGAGCAGACAGTTAAAACCATAATTATAAAAATAGAATTAAAAATGCAATATCCTCAATCTAAAACAAAAGAGTTAAAATATATGACAACTAATTTAAAACAAAGAGCGGAGGATTAAAATTGAGTGCAATAATAGAACCATAATAAAATAATAAAATATTTTCCTGGTAGGAAAATAATATAAAAATAGACACCAACTGGGCTTCCATGTAGGACATACCACAGTTAGGAATTCAGCACTGTAAAAACATGACAGTACATAACTTAGTTCCACATCTAAAAGATGTGGAATGGAGAGTACTTCTCTACCGTACGTGTAAATAAAAGCTATACTTCTCTGTACATACATCAGTATTTCTGAATTGCTATACTATTTGGATGAATCTTGTAAAATGATATGCACTCTCTCTTTGTATATGATGAATCTATATACCGTATTTTTCGCTCCATAAGAGGGACTTCCCCCCCCTCCCCCAAAAAAGGTGGACGGTGCCAGTCCTTTGGTGAATAGCAGCTAGGCCAAGGCGGCAGGTCCTTTTACAGTGCTTGAACTCTGCCTCTTCTGTCTTTGTCATTGCCCGCCTCTTCTGTCTGTTTTCCGCAGTGCAGGAGTCAATAGGCAGAGCTGGCATATGAAAGGACACCTATCTGTGGTCTGCCTGATATTTTTTGTCTTGTTTTCCTCCTCTAAACCTAGGTGCGTCTTATGGTCCAGTGCGACTTATGGAGCGAAAAATATGGTATATTGTTATACTGCAAAGTCCATGTTGTTGGTATTACAAAATCGATGTTGTGTGGCTTTCACACCCTTGGTGCTTTAGCCATTGTCAACTCTCAACACAACAGAAAATGATTCTTTTCTTTGTTTCCCAAAAGGTGTTACTTTTAATCACTTTTCATTTTACCAAACCTCCTATCAAAATAAAAATTGTCTGGAAATCTTTGATTGGTTGTTATAATGCTGTTTTATAAATACAAATGAAATGATGTTCCATTGAGCATATATTTATAGTTTTATTTTCTTTGCATTCTTCTTTCTCAGGGGTTTGTTTCAGAATGGTAAGGGACCATGAAGTATATCATCTTTGCATCACTTCTCTGTAACTTTTTTGAGAGTAAAATAGAAAGCCTGAGCAGAGACTTCAGAAATCTGCAATGCCAAGTTTCTGTGTTAATCTGGAGAGTTAAGTATCATATAATTATAATGTGTACTTTAGTGGAAATCCTTTTACAGTAGAATCCTGATTTTATGACCATTAGTTATATAAATATCCTATTTTTAGTATTTTACTTAGCCACATAAGAAAAAAGGTACCTGTGGACAAATTTAAGCATTGTACAAGGGTCCCAAGATACATGGAAATCTTGCATTTCCCATTATCCATATTTAAGATTGTGCAACCTGGAAACATGGGAAAGCCCATCTTTCACAATAATCAAGAAATACAAGGGGACTTTGTTCACTTTCCAAAGCAAAGTAGAGATTGTTGAAAGGTTTGGAAAGGTGAAACATTATTAGTAGTATTAGCAGAAACAGTATTAGCAGAGGTGTTTCGAATTGGGATATCTACAATTTTACAACCAAAGGTTAAAAAAAGATACCTTCTTACATTTTCAGCAATGGGAAGTGGAAATGAAAAAGGCAATGGGAAACAATGAAATATGAAAAAAAAATCAGCATTATAAAATACTGTCTATGCAAGGTTTTTTCCCAGTGAGTAGTCTTGGTGAACAAGTGTCAAGCCCATTTCTGTGTGAAGAAGCCTTGGAAATGAACAAGAAATTAAATGGTAATCCTGACTTTAACTGAGGAAGGTTAACACAAATCAGGTTTCTCCATGGGATTCATCATTTTGGCATTCATTATGTAAAATTTATGAGCTGATCAGACAGATACTCAGTGCCTGAGACAGAAATTCACAGATTTCAAAAATGAGAACTTTAATGCTGAAAATATTTATAACACTGTTATTTCTGGGCCCTTCCACTCTGAAGTATGTAGTGCATTATAAATTGCTTTGCAGTGGCTACAAGATTGACAGGACTGAGATGTTGTACTGTTCCTGCAGGATTTGGCTGCAAAAAAGATAACTAATTCTCTCAAAAAAAATTATTTCAGAACATTATTTTAAAAAATGCAGTATAACCATCTGAATGGACATAATCCAAATTCTTTTGGGCACAGAGTGCAGATTATACAGTTATTTGGTTCTCAGTTAAAAAAATAAATCCAGATGAGAATATTTGTTCAGTGTATGAATTTTTTCTCTCCTACCATAGAAGCATCCTTTATGCCTTATCTTGAAACTGTAAGTGCCACTGCCAGGCTCAGAACAAACTTATCTTAAAGCCTGGCACTTATTGTATCTTGAAGCAAGTACAAACCATAGCTCAGATCCTAAACTTCATAACAACATTTGCAGCATTCATGTGAAATGTTTCATTAGAGGACTTTGATTGGGGCAGAGCGTCTCGAGAAATTAAGAGCATAGTTGCAAATGACTTGTCATATTCTTGATGGCCTAAACTGAATAACATTTATAGTAGTTATCTGTGCTGTGCTACACACAAACCTTTTTTTTAAGCAGACACATTTCTAAGCAGTTACGAGATGGGGCGAGGCTGTGTATTAATTAATTAGAGGGGTTTTTTTCCTTACTTGCTTCAGTTTTTCTTCAGAAATTTGTATAAGTAAAAAGTTGAGGTTTTATGTTATTACCTTATTCTACTGTATCAAAAGAACTTGGAAGTCAATGTTTTTCTTTTTCTTTTCCTTTTTGCCCTACACTTTTCTCTCTTTCCTTTTTCTTCCCTTATTTTCCCATTATCTTTATTTTTCTTTGTATTTTTGTATTTTATATTTTGATAAATTAATAAAATATTTGAATACAGCATTATAGGGCTGAAAAGGATGTCGGAGGTCTTATCCAATACCTTGCCCAAGGCAGAAGTCTTTATACCATCCTGGACAAATGATTATCCAATCTTTTCTTGAAAACATGAAGTGATAAGGCACCTGATCCTGAGAGGCAAACTGCTCCATTGATTAATAGCTCTCACTGTCAAGAATTCTTCCTTATTTCCAGGTTGAATCTTCCTCTGACAAGCTTTCACTCATTGCTTTTTGTCCTTCTTTCAGGTGCTATGGAGAATAAATTGATGCCCTCTTCCTTGTGACACCCCTTCAAATATTGGAAGACTGCTATCATATCTCCCCAAACCTTCTCTTCATTAAGACTGCCCATATCTACTTCCCTTAGCTGTTTATTGTATAATTTAGCCTCCAGGCCCCTTATCATCTTTGTGGCTGTTCTCTGCATTCTTTCTAGTGCCTCAGCATCTTTTTTGTATCATTATTGGAAGAGGGAAACCTCATTTTGCAGTAGTTCTTCCTTCAGGACAAATCCCAGACCATGTTGGTTGACAGAGATCATGGAGCAATAAACTTCAGCTTTAGGATGGTACTTCGGGCACTACCTTCTCTTGCCTCCTTTTTAATATATACAATACATGAAGCCACTGGGCAATATCATCTGCTGATACTGAGTGAAGTATCTCCAATACATTTATGATTCATCATTGAATATCTCTTATCTCCCAGCCTTCCAAGTAAAGCTGTTGATATTCTTTCAGGTGTGCAGAGGCTGCAAGAAAAAAACAAGTTGAGGCTTAACCCTGCAAAGATGAAGTAGCTATGGGCTTTAGGTCCTCCAGATCCAGGAATTGGAATGTTTCTATCATTGAATCTTGGTGGGCAAGCTGGGAGTCCTTCTAGATTCTTAGCTCCTGCTCAAAGAGCAAATGGCACTGTTGCCAGAGGGGCCTTTGCACAATTGAATTTTATCTTCCAGTTGCAGATAAAAGGGGATTTGTTCAGGGTCACTTTTGTCTTAGTCAGTTCCTGATTGAATTAATGTAATGAGGCCTTGAAGATTATCTGGAATCTTTAGTTTGTCCAGAATGCAGCAGTTCAAGTCATTATGGGTACAGGCCATTAAACTCATATGATTACTCCATGATCTACATTGGCTCCCAGAAGATGTGATTCAAAGTGCTGGTTATCACCTTTAAAGCCATACATGGCATATGACCAAGGTACTTGTGGGATAGCTTATGTTAGGCCCAAGGAACCAAGAGTGGCGTAAGGAGTTACTTCTGAGTCATTTCCTTATTGTTGCTTGCCTATAGACAGCAGTCATGCCAGACTAAAGCATTTATCTGCATAACTACTTAATATACCCTGCAAAATGCTAAGGGGAGTCCACCTTCACTTTTTTTCTACATATCAAATATTCCAAACTTCTTTGATTCTTTGCTTGCTGGAAAGAGCCCTTTGTTCTGTAATTCTGGCCCAGATTCTACCACATCTTTCTGCCAAAATACCTGCCGCCATATTCAAGGGGCCTTAATTTAAACACAGTTATATTATGGGACCTAGGAAGATATAGTACAGTCTCCAACTCCGCTTGCCTATAAAAAAGCCATTAAGTCCTGAGTTTTTCTCCATATATTTGCATCCAATTGAGTGGAATCCCCTTTAGGTTGTTCAATTACCCGATTTAGTTTCCATTTTATATTCTATGCTTTATATCCTGTTTGCTTTATAATACATAGTTGTTTACCTTTGTAATGAACTGCCCAGAATCATATTTTTAGTTGCATGACTTTACAATTCCTTAAATAAATAACCAATTAAACAAAACAAAACAAAAGAATACAGACCATAGGATTGCTACATTAGAATGCTTGTATATAGATTTCTCATGGAAAATAAAGTATTCCCTGGAATTTCTGTATTGCGATTCTTCTAAATAAATATTACTAATAAGTATTCTGAAAGACTTGTTCTTTGTGTAAACTGCTTTCAATCCAAATTGTTAGGGGGAAGTCTGATACCTACTTAATACTATTTTTTTGTTTTGTTTTGTTTTAGTTATATTAATGATGTTGCTATTAAAATTTATTTCAATCTATTTTGATTCTTGCCTTTGAAGTTACTCTTTAACATAATCATATCTCTTATTTTTGGAAAATGTTCTGAATATAATTTTAGAAAACCACCCCACACACCTCCAAGATCCCTTCCAACCCTATGATTCTGTGCTCTATATATATGTAACTGAGAACATGAGGTTAATTCTACTGCCAAATCTAGAAGTAGCAGAAACAAATTTAAGACAACATTGTTGGTCTTTTAGAAGAAGACTAGGCCATTGAAAAGCAAGTCATTGAATAAAACTGAAGTTTTGAGACTGAACTGTACAGGTAGTCCTTGACTTATAACCATTCATTTAGTGACCATTTGAAGTTACAACTGCACTGAAAAAGTGACATAACTATTTTTCATACTTATGACTGTTACAGCATCCCGGTGGTCATATGATAAAATTTGGATGCCTGGCAACTGACACATATTTATGACAATTGGGATCATGTGATCACTGTTTGCAACCTTCTGACCAGCAAAATCAATGGGGAAATCAGATTCACTTAATGTGAACCTGCCAACCATGTTACTAACTTAACTGCAGTGATTCACTTAACAATAGTGGCAAAAAAGGTCGCAAAATGGGGCAAAACTCAAGTATTTCACCTAGCTATATAAACTTTGGGCTCAGTTTTGGTCATAAATCGCAGACTGCATGTATTGTCACAGTTTTAAATCTTGAATGCACGCTGACTATATCTTCTGTTTGTTTTCCAAACCAGTACACAGAGGAAAAAGCTAGGAAAGTGGGTATAGTCGGCTGGGTTAAAAATACCAGACAAGGAACGGTTAAAGGACAAGTGCAGGGTCCAGAAGAGAAAGTGAATGAGATGTAAGTACACTCTTTCCTTGGTGTGCTGGCTAGCTTCACTAAATTGCTAAATTTGATTCAAGTGCTGCTACTAATTAATAAAGAACAAGCTTTCTAAGGATGGCAAAATTTAAACAATCCACTGAATGAATTTTCTTCAGAAGAAAACTAAACTCTGCTAATGAGAACTTGAAACCTCAAGCAAGCTAGAACAGGAATGGAGAACTAAACTACAGTTCCAGACATCTCAATATTGACCTTGATAGTGCTGAGAATTGTAGTTCAGGAACACTTGAAAGGTCATAGGTTTCCCTCATAATCTAAAACCTTTCAGAAGGGAAGTACATCTATCTTGTTGGCACCTTATTTTTCTAATACAGCTAGTTGCTGTACTTGTCATTCATTGTGTTTTCTTTATATTTAATCTTAATCATATATTTTCTACAGTGCTTCTGATTTTTATTATTAGAGCTTTTAAATCTTTTGCATTTTCTGCTATTAGAGTAATATTATCAATATAATGCAGGCTACTGATATTTCTTCCTCCAATTTTAAAACCATGCTTGCCTTCTAATCCGGCTTCTAGATAGACAGGAGACAGTTAGATTGTGCAGAGATATATACACACATGTATATTTGTGTGTGTGTACATAAAGAAAGACTCAAGGCTGATAGTGTGATTTTTTTCCTCCTTATAGTTTGTGGTCCCTGGTACTTTAAGAGAGAAAAGGACCACACCTGTACTGAAGGGAGATACAAGAGAAATGCTGAAGGCACAGGGTATGCTGGTGGTGGAAGAGAGAAAGGAAATTGTTGTAATGGAATGTGTGAAAGACCTTGGGGGACAGGGAGAACAGATGCTAACTAGGAAACAATCAGACAAGAGAGGTAGGAGCTCCCAGTGGCTTAGTGGTCAGATAAAGAAACTTAGGAAAGACCCACTCTAATTGATCAATTAAAAGTGGGGTTGGAAGTCTGTATCTTCAGATTTGCAAGAGCCTATTAATGTAACATGGTAAAGTAGAATTAGCTCATCTAGTTGGGTTTCCTGTCTGGTTTACCTGGAGTGGCTGGCAATTGCCTTGGTAGTACAGGAGTTTAAGGCACCCTGTTATTAAGCTGGTTATTAAGACCAGCTGCCTGCAATTACTGCAGGGTTCGAATCTCGCCAAGGCTCAAGGTTGACTCAGCCTTCCATCCTTTCTAAGGTAGGTGAAATGAGGACCCAGTTTGTGGGGGCAATAAGCTGACTTTGTATAAATATACAAAAGGATGAAGGCTATTGCTGAGCACATTGTAAGCCGCCCTGAGTCTTTGGAGAAGGGCGGCATATAAATCAAATTTAAAAAAAAAATTAAAAAAAATAATAATAAAAAAATTGTGCTGGAAAAACTAAAGCCAATTATCTGTGAAGGAGGTGAAACTAAAGTAGTTAGAGTGAGCAACAAGGTCTTGAAATTATAGCTATGAAAGAAGTAGAAGGACAGCTTTACAATCTTTCCAGAAATGCAGACCAGCTACAATCAGCTAGCAAGACATAATTGTTATCCTTGCAATCTAATGAGGACTGAGAGATGGAGAAGCAACTCAGCAAAAGGAAACACTTACCATGCTAATTCAAACTTCAGTAGGACTTAACTGCTAAAAGTGGAGAATAGGACAGGATTAAATGTAAAATAAAAGGACATTAAGCCTGAGTAAAAGGAATAGAATTCTCAGTGCTTTAAAATGAAGATGAGGAAAGAACCATAGTAATTCTGCTTTTACTCTAGAAAAGGTGGGTAATTAAGGACACAGGATAAAAGGGAAATTGTAACTTCGTTAAAGATATAATGATGTTATCATTTGTAAATGTAATATATAATTTAATACATTAGGAATATATTTTTGTATAAAAACCTTATGTACATATCAAAGCATTCAATCTTGCTCCGTTGTTTTTACCATAACTTAATTGGAACACTCTCGGTATTTAGAGAAAACATATAAGCGGAGAGCAAACAGCCTTGTTCACTTCTTTGCCAATCTGCAGCCTGTCTGTTTTTGCCATATTCTGACTGTACGGTGCTTCCTGACCTGGATATATATTTTGCATGGGGACAGTGAGGTAGTCAGATGTTTGAAATGAAGCGGTTGGGACAAGTTTAAGATGACAGTTGTTTGATATAAAGAATGGCGGAAGGCTTTATGTTTTTGTTTTCAATTTCTTCTTTATTTCTTATTTTCTATCTTAGTTCTTAGGTGTATTTTATTACATTAAAAAATTCTAATTAAAAAAGGTGTTACCGGATTCCTGTTTTCCTAAAGACGTTGCACAGGTTGATATGGTTGACACAATGAAAGGATAACCATCAAAGCACACACTGACTTCTTTTTTGGTATTTTTTAGTGGTAATTAATTTCTCAATTATCCAGCATGCATCAGCAATAATATCTTATATTGCTTGCTTGACCTTTTCTAAAGCTACGGTAGTTTGAACATCTGTCTTTTCCCTTTTCATGTGAGCTTTAATTTGGGTTGGGTGATCCTAAGCATTGTTTTGCTGTCATGTGAAATTAAGTGTGTTGTATAATAGTTTGCATGCTTTAAGTTTCTTTTTTGTATTGGAATGTAGATTGACTTCTTCTGATTGATGGGCCATTGTGATGTTCTCCAGATCTGCTGGCATAATTTGGTTAGAACCTTTATCAATTCTTCAGTTGCTTTCTATATTTCCAAGAGGAATTGTCGGTTCCTGTAGCTTTCCACTTTGGTAATGATTGAAGTGCTGATCCAACTTCATATTCTATTAATAATGTTTCTTGAAAGTTGGGAATATCTCCTAAGACTCTTGGATGTTGACATCTTTTCTGTCAGACTTTAAAAATACTCCTTTCATCCTTGTTTGATCTTCTTTGAACCAGTTAATCTGTGCATTAGCATCCTTTAACAAACTGATCTGGGATTTCTGAGTTCAGAGAACTTTTGGAAGACTTCCTTTGTTTTTCCATATTTTATGTTTTTTATAGATGCCATTATAATATTGCTCTTTTCTAGGTTTGGCTTCTCTTCTGGGCAGTTTCCACCATTTGTTCCGACTTCAAGTTTGCTTTTTTCTCATTATCTTTGTTAGTCTTTTTTTATATCCATTATTAAAAACATGATTTCATTCCAGAGTTGCTCTGATTCCCTATCCATAGTTCAGGACTTCAAAGCAATTTGCAATTTGGACCTTGAAAATGAGCATTGTGTAATCTATGGTTAATCCTTTTGCTACCTGAGCTCTTCTACCTCCTTGAACCAATAATAGAATCAATTGGGTTTCAGTGTACTCCATGTATATACAGACATTGCTTTGGTTGTTTGAAGACTTATGTTAACTGTATACCCAAACTTAGATTTTTATAAATGTAAACCAAAGCCTCCCAATCAAACAAGAAGGAATCCAGCCTAATTCAAATTGAGTCAATATGGGGGGGGGGGGGGGAATGCAGAAGTTTGAAATAAGATAGTGTGGGCCACACCCTTCTTGAGCCCTTTACATTTGATAATATTCTAGAGAGGGCATGATTATCTATCATAGCCCCAAAATAAAACATTTTTCTTTTGCTGAAAGGAGAAAATATGCTGTAAAATTTTATTGTAAACCATGCTTGTCAAATGTAAGTATTTTAAAAGCCAAATTTTAGATCTGGCCAGTTGCCAAGAGGAAATGGATGAGGGCAGAATGGAGGCTTGTTAGTCTAGTTCCTGAAAGAAAGAAATTGGAGCATTAAGTACTGAGAAAACAAAACAATAAATCAAAGCAATTCGTTATATGAGACTGATGAGAAGCAATTACAACACTGGAGAAATGATATAGTTATGCTAGGATCACTGATGTATAATAACTCATGTGAACATATATTTGGTGACCTGGTTTTAAGATTTTTCCAGGAATGTACAATTAGGATTAAAAATCAGAATAATTATATTTTTATCAGTCTGATATTCTTCAGGTATGTTAGATAATAGTGTAATTGTTTCCAGTCAACTTTGTCCAATCTCATTCTGTGAACCTTCCAAAAAGGACTAGATTCTACAGAGGTAGGCAATTATGGCCCTTTTATGACTTGTGGACTTCAGTTCCCAAAATTCCTGAGCTAACATGGCTGGCTCAGGAATTCTGGAAATTGAAGTCCACAAGTCATAAAAGGGCCATAGTCACCCACCCCTGCACTAGAATATTAATATTTGTTTTTTATATGCCACCAAAATCTGCATGGATTCCCAAATGTTTAGTTTAGAATAAACTATAAATACTAAAGCAATAATAAAGAATACATAAACAGTACATTGCAATAATATAGATAGTACCCCTCATCATTCCTCAATAGCTCTGAAAAAGCTTTACCTAGTTTCTAGAAGACCAATGGATTTGTGTGTGCTGATCTGACTTTTTGGGGAGGCTCTTCTACTGTAGAATTTGGAAACCACAGACGAAGCAGGAACAAAACCATCACTATCCCCGTCCTCTTAAACTGTCAGCAGTGGGGGGATTTGTTGGGGAACATGCACTGGATGTATTATTTCTACAAAGAAAATGTGATCCTGAAGGTCAAGCTATGTTTGAGATTTATGGACTAATACAGCACTTTGAACTGAACCTATGAACTTATAGCAGCAACTTTAAGACCCTCTGAGGGAGAATTTCTATCACAAGGTGCTCCTTCTTAACCAGACCAAGGTAGCTTCAAGCAATCTTTGCTGCTGCAATTAAACTGAGGCTATGAGTTTGTGCAGGACTCTTCATGAATCACGCGCCCAGAGTTTTGGTAATTGATGACAAAATGTATTATTATTTTGCTTTAAAATGTAATATTATTTATGTGTATATTATTTTGTTAAATATTCCCTAATTGCATGTAAATCTGACTTGAGCCACACTAGGCCATGGCTCACTAGTGGGGCATGAGGCGATTGCAACCAGGTCACAGAAATGGCTGATGAGCGCACATGCGCATCTTCACTTGCAGAAGCAGTGTGAGAGTGTGTGTGTGCA